GACATAACGTCCCCCTCCTTAAGTGTGGATTGCATACATAACTTCCTTCCAAAGAGAAACATTTAGAAAGTGTAAGGAGGAAAGGGGTAACTTTACAGTGGAGAAACCTGACAAACACTGCATCAAGGTCACTATCAACAAAGATGTCAAGTCAATAGTGTATACATTTGCTATGTTGTGACAAAAATGGTGCTTTATAGATAAATGGGACTTCATAAAACTAAAAAGCTTCTGTTCATCAAAAGAAATGGTCTCTAAACTGAAGAGAACACCCACAGAGTGGGAGAAAATATTTGCCAACTATACATCAGACAAAGGACTGATAACCAGAATACATAGGGAACTTAAAAAACTAAATTCTCCCAAAACTAATGAACCAATAAAGAAATGGGCACGTGAACTAAACAGAACTTTCTCAAAAGAAGAAATTCAAATGGCCAAAAAACACAAGAAAAAATGCTCACCATCTCTAGCAATAAAGGAAATGCAAATTAAAACCACGCTAAGATTCCACCTCACCCCTGTTAGAATAGCCATCATCAGCAACACCAACAACAACAGATGTTGGCGAGGATGCGGGGAAAAAGGAACCCTCTTACACTGTTAGTGGGGATGCAGACTAGTACAACCACTCTGGAAAAAAATTTGGAGGCTACTTAAAAAGCTAGACATCGATCTACCATTTGATCCAGCAATACCACTCTTGGGGATATACCCAAAAGATTGTGACACAGGTTACTCCAGAGGCACCTGCACATCCATGTTTATTGCGGCACTATTCACAATAGCCAAGTTATGGAAACAGCCAAGATGCCCCAGCACTGACGAATGGATTAAGAAAATGTGGTATCTATACACAATGGAATTTTATGCAGCCATGAAGAAGAACGAAATGTTATCATTCGCTGGTAAATGGATGGAATTGGAGAACATCATTCTGAGTGAGGTTAGCCTGGCCCAAAAGACCAAAAATCGTATGTTCTCCCTCATATGTGGACATTAGATCAAGGGCAAACACAACAATGGGATTAGACTATGAGCACATGATAAAAGCGAGAGCACACACAGGAGGGGTGAGGATAGGTAAGACACCTAAAAAACTAGCTAGCATTTGTTGCCCTTAACGCAGAGAAACTAAAGCAGATACCTTAAAGCAACTGAGGCCAATAGGAAAAGGGGACCAGGAACTAGAGAAAAGGTTAGATCAAAAAGAATTAACCTAGAAGGTAACACCCACGCACAGGAAATCAATGTGAGTCAATGCCCTGTATAGCTATCCTTATCTCAACCAGCAAAACCCCTTGTTCCTTCCTATTATTGCTTATACTCTCTCTACAACAAAATTAGAGATAAGGGCAAAATAGTTTCTGCTGGGTATTGAGGGGGGGAGCGGGAGGGGGTGGAGTGGGTGGTAAGGGAGGGGGTGGGGGCAGGGGGGAGAAATAAACCAAGCCTTGTATGCACATATGAATAATAAAAGAAAAATGAAAAAAAAAAAAGATGCCTAAGGGAATAACCAGAAGGATCAAATTCAGAATATGAAGACTGACAACTGCCTTCTTTGTACTTGGCTTTTAGAAAGCCACAAGGAACTAAGTAAGAATGATCCCATGAACCAATTCAGGTTATAATACATATATACATGGAAATGTCACAATGAAACTCCCTGTATAGCTATCTTATACAAACAAAAATGGCTTTTTTCAAAAACGGAGAACAGGAAGGTAAATCAGGTTCTCTCTGGGGGTTGGTACCAGTGGGAGGGGGGGAGGATAAAAGGAAGAGGTGTAGGAGGGTAAATATGGTGGAAATATTATGTACTCGTGTACGAGAATGAAAAAATGAAACTATTCCAAGAATGCAGGAGGGGATAAAGGAGAATGATGGAGGGAGTAAATTTAACTATGATATATTGAAGAACTTTCATAAATGCCACAATATATCCCCTGTACAATAATAATATGATAAGAAAAAAAAGGAGAAAGAATGGACAGAAGCTATAAATGAAAAGTGAAGAGAATTACCTTTCTAGAGATGGGAGCAAAAAGATACAAAAGAGCAATTAACAGTAACTCAAGAGAGGTGAGGTTAAAACAGGTTCATTTTTGTTTTTTCAAATTTTTTAGGATAGAAGATTCTTAGGCATATAGACCAAGGATATGAAGGCAGAAGAATGTGTAAATTCAATAAATTTATTCTGTAAATGCTTTTTTGAATACCTACTGTGTACCAGGACCTTTTTGTTGTTCGTTTATTTGTTTCTTTGTTGGTTTTGGGTTTTTTTGCAGTACTGGGCCAGATTCTTTTTTGAGATGCTGACACTACAGCTGGAAATTCTTACTCCCTTAGAGCTTACACTCTTATTGAAGAAACAAACAATAAACAAGATAAATAAGTAAAAGTACAGGGTGCAATAGAGCAGGGAAGGAAGATGGAGCTGGCAGCAAGGTGGCCAAGGCAAGTCTCAATCAGAAAGTAGCATTGAGTAGAAGCCTGAACAATGGGGTGGGATGGGGACTATGTGATGTGTGTGATTATGTGAGGGAACAGTACCACAGGCAGAAGGAAGAGCAGAGCAAAATCCCTGAGGCAGAAATACCTCCAGAATGGTCAAGGAAAACCAAGGCCAGTGAGGCTGGAGCACAGTGAGCGAGACAAGAAAAGGCAAGAGAGGCCATCCTTGAAAAGAGCAGAGTTGGTGGTATAAGGCTTTTCAGGCCATGGTAAGGACTTTGTCTCTTACCCTGAGTAACATGGGAAGCCATCAAAGGGTCTTAAGGAGAGGAAAGACGAGATCTGACTTGGATTTTAACAGAATCGCTCTGGTGTCGGTGTTGAGAATAGGACAGGGGACAGCAGAGTCAGGGTGACCAATTAAGAGACTTCTGCAGTTTCAGGTGAAAGATGTTGGTGACACAAACCAAAGCAATAGCAAGGGGGGTGCTAAGAAGAGGCTGACTTGTGTATATCTTGAAGGCAGAGCCAGATGAAGAGAATGGAAGAAAGGAGTTCATAATTATAACAAGTACTTAGAAACTTTTGCTAAAAGCACTGACTCCTTACTTGGGCACACAAGTTAAATAAAAGCAGGACAAAAGCTTGGCATCCCTGTCTCTGTTTTACATCTGTATCCTTTCTCCAAGTCTCTCTCCTGAAATCACCTTGGGTTCCAGGATGGACAGGAAGACTGATAACATCTTTATGACTAAGGACTGAAACTAATCCCAAGGAAAGGAATAGCAGAGCCTCCCCAGGACAGATCACACCCCCCCCAAATGAGGACAATTACCTATAATGATGAGGCTGCACCTTGGAGCAGAAATAATCATCTCATGGGAGCCAGATCACTCCTCTCAAGTGATGACAGTGATAACTGCTCCAGAACCCTTTGCAGAACCAGAACTGAGATAAATATCAACCAGGCAACAGTTTGACTGGGACTTTTAACTTATGCATATCTCTCTCCCACTGGACCAATTATTTCTCTATTTAAACCTAAAGCTCATGTTTGTACACCAAAAATGGCTGAAGTGCTTACTTTGCCTCATTCCACAGTGGGCCCATCCCACATAATAAACTTTTTTTCTCTGCCATTCACCACTACTCTCTTCATTTGGTGTACTGGGGTGAGTGGCTAGATCTGACATGTTGGAGAGGCCTAGAACTCTTGGTTACATGATGACCTCCACACTGTTGGATTTGAGCACCTGGAGTGGACCTGCCGTTTCCTGAGCTGAGAGAGAATGTGGTAGGAACAGTTTCTGAGGGAAGATCAGGCAGTCATCTTTGGACCACTACATTGTAATTGTAAGATATTAAAGTGAAGAGAAACACAGACCAGGCTCTCACCTGTAATCTTAGCTACTTGGAAGGCTTAGGTAAGGAAGATTATAGCTCAAGGCCAGTTGGAGCAGGGAGTTCCCAAGACCCCATCTCAACTAATATCTGGGCACAGTGGAGTGCCCCTGTCTTCCCAAGCTATACAAGAGTCTGAGATCAGTAGGATCCTGATTCCAGGCCAGCCCAGGCAAAAAAGTTTCTGAAACCCCTTCTCAATGAAAAAAAACTGGACTGGTGATGAATGCATGTCATCCCAGTGACTTCAGGAAGCATAAAATATGTTTGGGCTTACCAGGGCAAAAAGCCAGACCCTATCTTCAAAATAACCAGTGTAAAAAAGGACTGGAGACATGCCTCAAGTGGTACAGCACCTACATAACAAGTGGGAGGCCCTCATTTCAAACCCCAGTGCCTCCTGGGGGTTTGAAATTTAAATTTAGAGGGCTAAAGTCATGAGTTCTTAAAAGGGAGTCCAGAGGAGCCTGACCAGGAAGGAGTAAAAGCTGAACCTTAGTAGAGGAGGGGCTCCTTCCATCCATGGTAGATGTGAAGACAGCTTTGGGAATGTAGTGGCAGGTCATGTTAAAGGTTGCAGGGAGCTTAGAGCGAACTTGCTGATGGCCTGTTTTCTCTGCTGGTAGAAGAAGGAGGGGAAGGAAGCTTGGGGGCAGAGGAGGACAGAGGGGAGCAGGGGTGACCCAGAGCAGAAGGTAACATGCCTGACTCCTCACACGCAGGAGTATCAGGACCCGCTGCTCTGTGCCTTCGCCTCCCTGCCGCTGACAGCAGTTTGGGGCCCGGAAATCCCACAATCCAACACCTGACCCTGCCCACCCCTGCAGCAATTGCCCTAGCAGATTTGCTTGTCCAGCTGTTCTGCCTTCCTGAGTCTGCACCAGCACAGCACCTCACCCAGCAGGTCCAGGCAGTCGCCCACGAAGGGTTTCAACTCCACACCCGCCGCGCCTTGCCCAGCCCCCAAGCCCTGCTCCGGAGCCAGCTCGCCTGCACCACCTACCGAAGCGTTAGGGCAGCACTCCAGCTAGCTTCGGGGATTGGATGACCTAATGCCTGCATCATCTGTTTGAAGCCACAGTTTTACAGAAGATACTGAGAACATTAATTTATTCTTCAAATATTCACTGAGCTACCGCTGTGCGCTAGGATACCTCGTACCACTCAGAAGCTCGGGATACCCTGGGGAAGGTCCTTGCCTTTACAAAGCTATTGAGGAAGACAAATATAAAATTAAAACTACAGAATTAAAGATACAGTTGCAATGTTGAGAAGGGACAGATTTCCGAATGAATAAATGGATGGAGTAGGGAGGGGGGGGCTCTCTCTGAAGACATGACATTTAGACTAAAAACTGAAGGACGACTATAAATTGGCCACACAAATAAATGGAGGTGGCGAGAATATTCTAGATAGTGGAAATATATGAGAAGGCCTGAAGCCCACAGCCCATGACAAGCCCTGCCAGCAAATAGACCTGATGGGAGGAAAAAACCAGGTGAGGCATTTGTCAGTTCCCTGGAGTCTCTTCCTTTCCCCATCCTCCCACCCAGTGTCCAGATGATAGCCTTCCTAAGGAAAGCAATACTTCTTGACCTTAGTTTACTCAGTTTAAGAATATGTGGGTATTTAATCCTTCAACTTATTTGTAATATTGTTACGTTCTCTTTACTTTAACTAGAAAACCAGAGGATTTCCTTCCTTCCCAACTGACAGGATAACAAACCAAGAGGGTTGAACAAGTGCCCTCAGCTTCATTTGAACTAGAATCTAAATCAAGATTCCTTGTGACTTTAAACAACACACCTTTAACTTCCTTGAACACCAGAATTCTATGGATCATGAATCTCTGTTCAAACTCCACAAGTCATGAATCAATTAGAAAAGTTTCTAGACATAAAGAAAATATGCACAATGGAGCATCATTCAGCTATAAATTTAGAAAAAATGAAATCTGTCATTTGCAGCAAAATAGATGGAACTGAAAAACATCATTTTGAGCAAAATAAACAAGACACAAAGAGACAAGTATCACATATTCTCTCTCTTTCTCATATGTGGGAACTTCAAAAAAATCAACCTGAAATTAAAATCATGATTATAAGGCACTGGGAGAAGAAAGAACAAAGGTGGAAGAAGAGTGTTTGGATATGATCAATACATGTATGAAAATAGCACACTGAATTCCATTAATGTGTACAATTAATATGTGCTACTTAAAAAAAGAAAAGTTCTTACACTTGCATACTATATAACTACCATTACTATTCCCTACTTGTCTAGCTCAAGAATAAGGTGGTGTACACAAAGCCAACTAGAAGGGTTAAGGGCTATCTCTGAGTCAATTGGCCATAATACTAGAAAATGCATATTTGATGTGTGAAAATTATTACATGTGTAAAAAGTCTAAGAAAGGGAAAGCAAGTAAGAATGGACTTAAGGAATATTCTTGTCTTTTAATGGAAAGCAACAATAAAAATTCTTATCATCATAAGGGTATTGATGATAAATGAAATGATGATTATGGGTTCTCAATGATAAAAATTATCCACTCCATAGTAATGAACACTGGTGTTAGCACACCATACATGTGCACATGTGCATGTTCATGTATTCAGATTATAGCCAAAAGTACACTTCCCTACAGAGATTGGAAAATGGATAGTACTTGTCAGTGACTTTGTGGCTGGTGCAAAAAATAGAAGTAGATATTTATGGCTAATGATGCCATTAGCCTGGAGGTAGATCTCTACAAAAACTACACAAGGCAACAGTAATACAAGTTAATGAGCCTCTATTGAGTCTGTTGCTCATCTGTAAAATGGGAACAAACAGTAGTTCTCTCACAATAGCATTCTCCTGAGACTCAAATGGGGTAAGCTACATAAAAGTGCCTGGTGCTCATAGCCCAATATACACAGATGTTTGATCGATGGATGATAATACAGGATTTGAATAAAAATGCTGAATGTAGAGAAGTAAGCAATGACTCATAGAGAATGACAAAAATAAAGATTCAATAAGATTTCAACAGGTTTGAATTATAGGGAAGAACTACTAATTTGACTCTAAAGCAAGAAAAACCAGAGTCCTGAGGTGAGGTTGATTAACAGGCCTGCTGAGGCTATGATGAGATGAGAGGTGGGTTAATAGCAGCTGTGATGAAGTGGGGACTGATGTGGTGGCCAGACAGGTAAAGCAATCTTGGACTACATTGCTATGATTGTTGTTGTTATTCTTGTAACCCAGAACTACACCTTTTGCATAGGGTTTTTACATGTATCACCTTTTACATTGAGGAATATTGTTGTATCAAAGGAAGTAGTTGTTCCAGTGACCTTTGAGTCAGGGGAACCCTAGTACTTGGTCCACTTCTGGTCACTGGCTGTAAAGGCATGTGAGCACCTGGAGGACAGCTGGTGTGACAAAGGAACAGAGACCCAGCTAAGCATTGGCATGCACTCGTGGGTGACCTTAAGGAAATGACTTAGTCCCTCCAAACCCAGCCTGTTTCTTCAGCTGTCAAATAGGAATGACAGCTCCTACTCTATAGAATAGGACAATTAAATGAAATCACAGATGGTATGTGACCAGTCCAGAATCTGTACACACTGAGAAGACAACCAAATGCCATTCAGCTTCTCAGGGACCCTCTGTGGGGATTTGCTCTGTAGGTCTGCTTCAACTTGCTTAGATTTCAGGCCTAAGCAATCAACTGATTCCTTAATTTTCACACCCTGGGTCCTGCCCTACCACTACCCAAGAGGAACTGAGCAGGACGCAGACAAACCTACTATACTTGCCACATGCTCTAAGAAAAGCCAGTAGAGAATTGCAGTGCATGCTCCCCAGAATTTTGGACTCAGTAAATCTGAAATACTAGCTGACCTCCTACTGTACACTGGGTAAGAGCATGAGTTGGATAAGCACAGTCCCCCAGCAGTCTCCAGAGCTTATAATCTAGGGGAAAAGTCAGATGATCAGATATAGATAGATAAATAGATAGATGATAGACGTAAAGAAATAATTATAAATGAACACAATGTCAAAGATCAAAACAGGCAAATCCTAATTTGGGGCCTTAAGAGCCAGACTCTAGAGGAAGTGGCATGTGAACAGAGCCTTAGGGGTGAGTAAGAAATTCCCCAGCTCCCCTTCAGGGTAGCTTCATCACTCTTGGGTACCCGAGATTTCTCAAGTATTCTGAGAGGAGTCCCCAGCTCCTTACCCACAGGGAGATATTTCTTCCTCCAGTCCACTGTGGAAAGTCCCCCAAAAGGTTGTTGCCATACCTTCCAGGAGTTCTACCCCTGCCCACCACTCCTTTTACCTAATAACATCTTCTCCTCTGAGAGTTCAGCAATAATTAAGGCTCTACTCTCAGTCACCCCTCCCTGGCAGAACCGGCTGGGCCAGAAACACACCTGGTCCTGCTCTTCCTGGCTCTAAATTTCTAAAAAACATGTACTTTCCCCAGAGCCACTATGCCCCTGGCCTTCTGCCTCTCTCCCCCCTGTTCCAGAAACCCCAGAGTAGAATACACAGGTGATTTTCAAGGGCAGGGTAGGGATGATTTGTGCATGTCTATGCCCACCACCAAGCCACCACTCCATTCCCCACTATTTCTTTCAAGCTAGCACATTCTAGAGAAAAGGCAAAGGCAGGGACTGGCAGAGCAGAAAGGCAGAGACAGACAGAAAATGAGAAGCACTGAGAAGTAGAGAAGAAAGCAATGTGAGAGAAGGAATGAGAGACAGGTAGACAGGCAGAGACAGAAACAAAGATATACAGAGAAAAAGACACAAAAGTGTGGAAATGAAAAACCCAATGAACAAAGAGCATGGAGAAGGGTGCACAGGAACAATTTCCTGAGTGGTCCATTGGGAGGGATGGTCTACATGGAACAGCAACATGCCATGTGCTCTATAGGACTGCAACCACCACAGTGAAGTCACAAAAGTCTGGAAGGGGGCAGGCTTAGACACTGGAAAACATGTCTTCCCCCATATCTCACTACTGATGAGGAAGCCACCAGAGGGTGAGGATGACAGATAACCTAGAATTAAGAGGGAGTTAACCTGTAAGAAACCTGACCAGTCACAGCAGCAGGCTGGGTTCTAAGACACTGTGATTTTCCACTCTGTGGCAAGTGTCCAAGACCAGCTGAAAGAAAAGCCACCACCCTTCCCCGCCCTTCATTCCACAGACACTGAGGTGGCCCAACAGCATGCCTGGCCTTGCATGGGGCCCTGAAGATGGAGCCTGCAAAGATAAGGCAGAGCACCCAGGGAGGCTAGGGTAAAGAGAGGGGTAAGGGGAGCAGAGATAAACCACCCAGAGGCCTAGGCAAAGTCCATGGGCACTTTTGGCTTGGAGACACAGGGAACATTTTGAAGACCCAGGCTTTGAGAAGCACTTAAAATGCAGGTAGAACTGGAGTGGTCAAGAAGCACAGTGGGGTGGATCACACCTGTAATACTAGCTACTTGGGAGGCTGAGATCAAGAGGATTGTGGTTCAAGGTCAGCACAGACAAATAGTTCATGAGACCCCCCCCCATCTCCAAACTAACTAGATTAAAATGGGCTGGAGGTGTGGTTCAAGTGGTACAGCACCTGCTTTACAAGTGTGAAGCCCTGAATTAAAACCCCAGTCCCACAAAAAAAAAAAAAGGAGGAGGAGGAGGAAGAAGACAAGAAGGAGGGTAGAGATGGTGTGAGCAAAGGCCACAGAGAAGTCAAGAGGAGTGATTTCTACCAGAAGGGTTTTAGGAACCATGCCAGGCCTCAGACTGACTCTGATAGCTCATTCCTGTATATACTTTCTAGGAAAACTTGGACAGGTCATCTTCCTCCTTTGCATTTAGATTTCTGTAAAATAGGGGAATTTAGCCAGCTTAGTGTTCACTATTCTGAAATCAAAGAAAACTTCACAGTCTTGGAGTTGGAGTCCAACTCCAAGCCTATCCTACAGCTTATAATTGTGTCATACAACTGAGGGTAAAGCTCCAGAGGCCAGGAGGCCTGAGGAAGACATGATCTCTCCTCTCCTTCACTACAGGCTCCCTCAAACCTGCCATACTGTGAGTGGGTGTGTTCATCCCAAGGCTTGGGCTCAGCCTGCACCAAGCTCCTCAGGCAACTGAGGCTGAGGTATGCACAAAGGGGCACCCTTTCTGTCAGGGTCAAACAGAAGCAATAGCAACAATCACTACAATGCTGGCAATAGAAATAATTAGGTGCAACTATCCTCAACGGAACAATGGTTGAATGTGGAGTATGAGTTCTAAGATCCATGCTCATATTAATCATCCAAAGTGGGTGTTAGTATAATCTCTACTTTATAACTCTTTTTTCTTTTGGTAGTACTGGGGTTTGAACTCAGGGTTTTGCACTTGCTAGGCAGATGCTCTACTGCTTGAGCCATGCTTCCAGCCCTTTAATCCCCAAGTGACTAAAAGAGAGCTAGGAAGAATTTCTCTACAAAAGGACACAGAACAAGAATACTGCATGCAACAGGCTCCCTGAGACTTTTCCTTGAAAGAGCATTTGGTAGCTGAGTGTTCTCATTTTACTTAGATTGCATGTTTCAGATCATAAAAGCAGATAATTTGGAAAAAAAAATCCAGACCAGGCAAACTATGGTTTTGAGGAGGTCTTCATGACTGCTGATGGAGATGAAGGAATCTACAGTAGACTTCAAAGCCTGCCTGGGCAGAGTCTTGGGTGGGGAGAGGCCAATGAGTCTCTGAGGCCTGAAAATGGTGATTAAATCAAAAGAATAGGAAAAAAAAAAGGGATAGGACCCTCTACTCTGCAGGATTGTAAAGAAAGCCAGAAAATAAAAATTGGTGTCTTAATCTATTTTGTATTGCTATAACAGAATACCTGAGTCTGGGCAATTTGTAAAGAATGTAGTTTTTTTCTTACAGTCTGAAGGCTTAAAAGTCCAAGGTCAAGGGACCAACATCTGGAAGTACTTCTTTTGGGGGGGGGGTCAAGGCCCTTTTTATTTATCCTTATACTAATTATATGTCCCTGTTTCCAAGTACATGGCTCAAGTACAGTGAAATTTACAGGGTTACAGGTGCCAGGGATACGGTTAGGGGCAGCTGTCCCTTGCAAAAGAGGGCTGTGTGTTCTGCCCTTTGCCGTGTAGCCATGACATACAACCCCAGTGGGACAGTAATAGGAGTCCCATCATCACATGGCCAAGTGTTGTCTCCCTGGCACATGTGCTTATCATTTGACATATAGTCTCTCTCCCAAGCTAGACAGCCTGTGCCTCCACATCCACCTTGGTCTATGGCCGCACATGCATCAAAGAACACTGACACTGGTTCATCAGGGTTAAACACCTGGGTGCAGCTGACGAGGTTCCCAGGGTTGTGGATGCTCCAGACCTCTAACCATTGCTCCCGAGGGCAGTAGGTGGAGTTGAAGCAGATATGCTGATCACCATGGGAGAATACCAAATATGTGGTACAGTTGTGGGTACATGCCCTGATGACAGAGCCTGCACAGGAATAGCAAGTATGGAAAAGCAGAGTCCTGGTGACAGCACTTCCTGCTCAGGTGATAGCATGCATAGGTTACAGAATGAGGGTTCTGGGACACAAAGGGAAACCAGATCAGTAATGATAAAAAGTAATTATGCATCCTGCCCAAAAGAGGGAGAAGAGAGCTAATAAAAACTTTTCGCCATGGGTCCAGTTGGCAGAGGCAGTTTCTGCCAAACCTATGGCAAAGATTAGGGTGAGAACTACAGCAATGGATACAGACAAGGGGTGACAATGCATTACAGTAAAATAATGACATAGAAAACAGTTTGTTTATCCTGTTTGATAGTTGACTCCTCAAGCTTTTGCTATGCATAGAGTAGTCAGCTTCTTGAGTGACTAGAGCAGGGCTGCCGTCCAGTCGTTCCTGGTCCCGTTGTCTCCCGGGAAGCAGAGTCCTGCCAAGGAAGGGTGCTGATGTTCCGGAGGGTGATATTACATAGTAAAGCCAGATAGGGGATGCATTCCCACTCAAGAGAAGCTGACTTGATTCACCTGTGGTGGATCCAAGGAGCGATCTCTTCTACTTCAACTGCAGTAGGGATAGACAAAATAACAACAAAAGGGCCTCTCCAATGAGGCTTTAATGGTTGGACATTCCATTCCTTTACCCAGACAGCATCCCCTGGCCTATAAGGGTGCATCAGAGTTGCTGACAGGCAGTCTCTCCCAGACCCAGTCATTGATCTTTGAGAGAGTCAACCTGAGAGCCCACATCTGCTGCCTCAAGGTGAGGTCACCCATTTCCTTAAGGTCCCCCTGTATGTCCTTGATTGAGAGGAATGGGTGTCCATAAAGGATGGAAGTACCTTCTTGCTGCATCATCCCATGGCAGAAGGTAGAATAGCAAAAGAGTATGTGCATACATTCATGTATAAGCAAGAGAGAGAAAGAGAGCAGGACAGAGCCAAAATCGTTTTTGCAACAAACTCACACACACAATTACAACATTAATTCATTAATCACCTTTAAAAAGTCTCATCTGTCAACACTATTGCCAATTAGGGATTAAATTTCTAACACATGAAGTATGGGAGACACCATAGCAGCTGGCTTTTTTATGAGACTATTTCTCAGCATCTCACATCTCTCCCTTTGATTACTTCCTGCAGGAAAGGCTATTACATTCACACTTGCTGGGGAAATCTCCTCTGGGAAGTCTGGGCTCAGTCCCTAAACACACAGGAAATACTGGGCTGGCAGGAGCCTCTGATAGAAAGACGTCCTGTTTCAGGTACTTTCCTCTGGCTATATAAATCAGGAAGGCATGACAAGTCTCCCTGGGCCTATTTGACCCTCTAGACAAATGATCCCTTCCCCTGCCTACATGCCCAGGACACCTTAGGGAAAACAATAAATGGACAGAGTTGATCCAATGAGATCTAAAACAAAAAGTATTGAAAAGCACAAAGAGTTGTGTAAATGTAGGACTGTTAAAACCTGCCCTGTTCTAGGAGATATGGAAGCACTCTAAAAGCAAAGACACAGTATGAATACCAAAGGAATATATAGGAAAGAAACAAAAAACAACAAACATGGTTCTGGCTCTTTCTATTTATTACCCCCCACCCCCTTGTTCTCCTTCCCTTGTTTTTGGATCAATACCCAGTGAAGCAAGAAGAGAACAGTGTGCTTCTGTTGAACAGCAGTAGGTTGTCTCACCCCTGTCTGCAGGAGGAGCCTGGACAGGGAGACTTGCAGAACACTGACGTTCTGGGATCTCACTCAGCCCAGCTGTGGCCCAACCAGGCAAAGGAAGCAGCAGACACCTTTCAGCTTGTGTGAACACAGTTCTGCCCTGGCTCTGGAGGAGCACATGATTCCATACATCAAGGTGCTTTGAGGGGATAGGGATACAGGACTCTAGACACACAGAACCCAGTGTAGACAAGCCACCATAGCCAGCTCTGAGACTTGGACTGTATAAAGAGAATGCTGGTGGGATGAGGCACTGTCCAGGAAGACTTTTCAAAGAGGGATGACAGAGCAAACTGGCCAGGTAAGCAAGGACTGGGAATCACTCTTGTGTTTATTCATCCATTTATTCAACATCTACAGCATCTACTCGATTCCAGACACTGCCCAGGAACTGATTGAGGATACAGGAATGAGTAAAACTCAGTTGCTCCCTTCCTCAGAGAACTCACAGTCTAGGAGAAACAATAATTCAGTCTTGAAATATGAATGGCATGCAAACCTGCATTTCAATGTGAGAACAGAGGAGGGCTGGGCTCCCTGGCCTGGGTGACAAGTGAGGCTGGGGGCTACCAGACAGACCAAGGGAAGGCACATCAGAAAGAGGGGCAGGTACCAAGGAAAAGACATGTATGGCAGGGTTCAGTTCATTATCTCACATGGCCATGCAGGTGGGTGCCCACAGTGGAGGAAGATAAGGAAAGAGGAAGCTGAGTCCAGACTCAGAGGGCTGTGAGTGCCCAGCTTGGGTGACAATAGAGGATGATAGTGGGAGAGGACATGATCTTCTCAAACTGGCAAAAGTGACAAGGTGAGTCTGGCAAGGGAAAGGGACACATGAATTGAGCCAGGGTGGGAGGTGTGGACAGAGACTCAACAGGAGGGAGAGCAGTCTTGGAAGGAGCTGGGGCTCCCTCAATGTTTGAAGTGAGGCCATGACTTGATGATGTTGTACAAAGCCTGTCCAGGGGACAAAGTGTTGGTCACATCACTGTGACCTACCAGCAAGTAGTTGGGAGCCAAGTACCCCTTGGCCACAGCACACTGGATTAGGTCCTGAGCTGCCTCCAGCGCAGCTGCATTTGGAGGCTTCTCTGCAAAGCACATGTACATAACCACATCAGTTATTGGGCCTTGAGGTGACTTGCTTAAGGCCATGACAAACATCTATATTCCACCCCAACCCATCCTATCATCACCATACCCAACAAATTTACATAAATTGTGGCAATCAGGCACAAAAACAAAATAAGACTATTGTGTTCCTAAATTCCACTTGGTCAAAGTTTACAACTGTTTACAAAGTTAACTGCCCTTCAGTAGAACTCTTGCATCACCCATCAGTTCTCAGCAGGTACAGAGAAAATACAGCCCAGTTTATCATTTTCTACTGTGCCATTTCAGGCAATGGTGCTCCCCAGCATTGTTGCCATGGTTACTAAGAAAAGGTATGCATTTATGAGCCATAAAGGTATGAACATTTGCAAAAATTTATTTTTGTCTTTTCCCCATGCTTTCCTTGTGAATGAATATAGTCAGATGGATCTGGGGATGGGGTTGGGTGATTGGAGGCAAATTTTTTGTCTGGAGGGGTTTCTGATAACAGTCATCATATACTGGGAGTCTACTTCAAAGCTAAAATGTCCCATTGGTACTGCCAGGCACCACAATGCTGCAAAGGCAGCCCCATGCTTCCCAAGCATTCCATGCAGTACTTTATCACCAGAACCCTCTGCCCACGCTCTCTCCTTACCTACAAAGTTGCCCATGAAGGCAATTCCTAAAGCAATATCGTTGTATCCATAGGTGTGAGAACCCTGGATATGCCAGCCAACCCCTTCATACACTCCACCATCCTGGCCCACCAGGAAGCTAGAAATGAGCAAAGAAAATGAAGTCACTCTAGGGAGCAGAATTTGCTTCAGTCACTCCTTCAATCACTAATTCAGCCTTTCATCCATTTATCATATATTGACTGGATGTCTCTTTTGTGCCAACGTGCTCAGAGACCAAATACAAAGACACAGTCCATTACAATGTGACTTTGTCCCCACCACTTCACTGAATATGACCCCATGAGTAGCAACCTCCTTGACACTAAGTGCAGTGGACACTTATCTTACGTTTTTAATATACTGGCCTATTGACCTCTCTTCTTGAAACATTCTCTTCCCTGGGCTTCCACAAGCCCACACACATTCCTCATTCTCTCTACTTTGTTGCTGTCCCTTAGGTCCCTCTACCATCCTATCTGCCTTTCTTCAAATGCTATGTTCCTCAGGACCTTAGTCTTCCTCTTTGGGACCCTGACCAAGTTTCTTCTCTCTTCTCTTTCATCATATTCACCCTAAACAATCATTCATTCCCATGGCTTCAACTAGTATCTATAAAAGCCAACATGCCCAAATGAACCCATCATCTTCTGCAGTTTCCACAGCCAGAAAATCAATGCATCAGTGTGAATGACTCCCTCTCCATCTCCCAGCCCTATCCAACCACTAATCATGGCTCATTAATTGTGTCTCTTACATAGCTTTTAAATTCCTCCACCTCCCTCTGCCAACTGCCACTGTCCTGAGTTGCTGGGTTATAGCAACAGCTCCCTGCCCAAAGTTTTGCTTCCCTCCAATCCATTCTTAAAATAGTACTGAGTGTTTTTGCTAACATATGAGTCCTATCATAGGGTATGGCCTTCCAAATAGCCTTCGGTTGCCTTTCACATAGAGTCAGTCTTCAGGATCAATGACAAGGCCCTGGTAATGTGGCTCTTGTAGACCCTTCCTCTTACCACTCCTGTTTTGGAAATTCATTTTTAGGTTTGAATGAAACTTATTTCAGTTAAAGATATATGCTCTGTTCGACCCCAGGCCATCAAGTATGCCATTTGTCTTTACCTAGAACTCTCCCTTTCACTCAGCTAATTCCCACACCTTATCCACATGCTAACATGGATGCACCCCCATAGAAGCCCTACTCTGATGCCAGTCATTCCCCTAAAGTCCTGAGTAGAAGCTTATCTTATGTGTATCCTATTCCTTATCCATCACAATGCTTAACATTTTGCATTACATTATAATTTCATGTTTATTGTCTCAACTCCACAAGGGAAGGGACAATAGCAATTCTGCCTAGCAAGATATAGCAGACAGTTATTAAACATTGGTTAAAGAGTTAGAAAAATGATGCATGAGTAAGTGCTTTGTCCTGGTTACAGTCCATGTCCTGGTACATGATGTTGCTGGAGTAGGGAGAGATTCCATAACAGGTTTTGAAAGTCAAGGGACAGGGATCAAGTTTCTGAAGACTGAAGAAAAAAGAGAAAACAAACACTCCCTCAGCTTCTGTCATTTATCATTTTGGAATGTCTAAATTTGTAGTCTGTTCTCTATTACCTGCACTAAGTAACTGCAAAAAGACTGAAAACTCCTGCAAAGTGAAGCCCATTCTCATCTGCATGCAAAAGCTGCTCTAAAAACAAGTTGAGAGGAGCGAGACAGCCAATCAGAATGGCAATGGCACATTTGCAGAAGCAAACCCACCTGAGACTGCAAAATTTGTTGTGGTTAAGTCCCAAATGAATAACTGAAATCTGTTATTCTCTAACCCTGAATCCCTTCTATGAGCCATGCAGTGCATCTCCCAAATAGCTTCTACTATTCCATTAGTTTAATGTCTTTCTTTATTATAGACCTGGTGTGAAAGAAACCAAAAGAGAATATTTTGATCTCCTTCTCCATCTTCTAAAAGAAAATGTATTGTTGTTCCTTTTGTGGGGATGAGAAGAAAGAGGCCCAGAGAACTTACAGGATCCTGTATAAGAGGGGCAAATAGCATAGAACTGACAGGATTCTACATCAGTGACAGTAAGTCTAGGATTGGTCTGACAGAGGTAGGGGGTGAGAAGCCCTTTGCTTCTGATTGGTTAGGAGAGATGTCCCTTCTATGGCCTTCCCTAAGGGCCTTTGCGTCTTGTTTTATAACTGTTGCTTCTCATGCCTTCTTTCAGATGTGAAGAACATGCCCTAAAAGGAATAACTGACCATAGCTGTGCTCTGAATGTGATACTCAGTCTAGAACTTTACAAAAATAAAAAACAGTGCCTCTGTGAAGCACCTGGCACAAAAGAAGTTTTATCTCAGCCTCCCTTTCCACAGCCCTGAAGAAAAGGATGTCGTGTTTCCACTGATCCACTTACTGATATCCAATGTCACAAAAGTCTCGTCTGTCCACATGAAAGGACTGTGTATCTCTGACACGAATCTGGCAGTCAACAGGTACACTGCAGCTTGTCCCAGCAGTGTGGATGATGATGACGTATTTGACTGGGGGTTCATTTGAGGGCAATGTGTCTCTCTGGCTTCCCAAACAGATCGGGGTGATGTTGGGGCAAGCTGAGGTTAGGTGAAAAAAACAAGAAATGTAAAATTGTTCTTTGCCATTGTGAACAGTCTAACACCCAGGTTAGGCTATGCTTAGTTCTCCTCCAAATCCACAGTCATCAGAGGCATTATCCTAATGTAAACTTGCCTGTAGAGTCTGAAAGTCCAGTGGGGAATGAGTAGGCTAGGATGTTGGAGGCAAAGACAGGGTTCTGATAACCATAGAAACCAGTACATTCTCATTGTTGAAGACATACCAATCCAAAACTAAGAAAACTTCTTTAGGGTTTTATAATGTTAAAATCTAATTTTTAAAATATTACTGATCCTGAAGAAAGGCCTACTTTAACAGACAAGTTAAATGACTGAAAGTGATTCATTTTAACTGTTTTTTTTCCAAAATAGCTTATTCGCTCCAAAATAGCTCATAATTTTTATTACTCAGTTTTGAGATTTCACCTGATATCAGAATAACACACTGTGACCATGTGGTAGGCTTTGGCTGGTTTTTGCATTTAAAAAGGACGTGTAATGTGTATGTGTGCACTCTCACAAAATACACACAGCTATGTAGATATATATTTTTGTTTTTTTCCTTATCACCTCCTTGCCATCTAACACCATATATAGTCCAGTTGTTGTTCTCATTTGTCTGCTTTGTTCGCAGCTATATACTTGATGTACCCAGAAGAATACCTGCTAGTCAGTCAATATTTGTTGACTGAGTTTAAATTATGTGTACATATCTATGTATGTTAAAAATGAGTCTGTGGCATGGGACAGGCATGGGTAGTGTATGCCTGTCATCTGCAGCTACTCAGGAGGCATAATAAGTAGGAGGATACTATCCAGGCCAGCCTAAGCAAAATATATCCTTCCTGAAAAATAACTCGAGCAAAAAGGGCTGGGGCATAGTTCAATGTGTGGTACAGCCTAAAAAGCATTAGGCCCTGAATTCTAACCCCAGTAAGGGGGGAAAATGAGTCCATGACAATATATTGGTTTCTAGTGGGATGGAGAGGGGACCCTCTCAGAATTTTTCAGATCTCAAAAGTCATGATGGTCATGAGATGTCCTTGGTTTAAGAAGACCATGAAAGCACAACAGGAAAGTGCATCCCCCAAATATGGTCAGGTGTAAGGAAGAGGTTGAGGGGTATTGAGGGCTTACCTTTCTTGGGCATCATTGGATATTGGGGGGTCAGGCCAGGTCTCTTCTTTCAGAAGAAGTGGCTGAATATACCTAGGTGACAAGTGACCTTTCTGGATAGCATAGAAGATCAGGCCTTCTGCTGCTGATAAGGCAGCAGGCGAGGACTGGGACTGCTGCCTTAAAGAGGATGACATGAATAAGAAATGTTTAGTAAAGAACTCCAATCTGGGTAGGCACCTGGAGGAAGTACCAAATGACCACATGAGCCTGAGTGGCTGGTGGCTGGGAAGGCAGAAGACTGGTCCAAAATCTAGAAACTAAGAAACAAGAATTACTTAGTCAGAACTCTCAGCAGCCAAGGTCAGCAACATCTTCCAAGCGCAGGATGACATGAAATAAGAAATGTTAGTAAAGAACTCCAATCTGGGTAGGCACCTGGAGGAAGTACAAATGCCACATGAGCCTGAGTGCTGGTGGCTGGGAAGGCAGAAGACTGGTCCAAAATCTAGAAACTAAGAAACAAGAATTACTTAGTCAGAAACTCTCAGCAGCCAAGGTCAGCACACTTCCAAAGCGCCAAGCTAAGACTTTGTTTTATTCATTCTATCTCTAGGTGGAAGGGCCGGGAGGAAGTAAAAGACACATATATATACCAACTCACGGTATTTTCTAGTGGCATGGAAAGGCAACTACTGAGTAGTTGCCATGATTCTGGTATGTGATAAGCTCTTATATTCATTAACTCATATAAATTTCACAAAAACCCCTCTGAGATAAATGCTGCTACTAGCCCTAATCACTAACTGATGATACTGACAGACACCAGTTATTTATCTTTTAGCTCTCAACTCTCTCACTGTTCTGCTGTCTTTTGTTGGTTGGTTGGTTGGTTGGTTGGTTGGCTTGGGGATGTAGGGGGAGCTGTCAACTATACTCCCAACTTCCTTGCCTAGTAGATTCTTGTTAGTTTCTTTTGTTGTTGTTTGTCATTTATTCACATGTGCATACATTGTTTGGGTCATTTCTTCACCCTGCCCCCCTCTCCCATCCTTACCCCCCTCCCCTCCTCAGTTTCAGGCAGATTCTTGTTAGTTTCTACCAACAGAAGACACTAGAAGAATAAATAAACCATGCTTTCTTCCCCTGGCATTCAGCGCATCCATGTCAGACAACTTCAAACTCCAGAAGTAATGGCAATAACTGTGACCTCAAGCAATGCCCATGGTGGCTTCAGCATATCACAGTAGTATAGGCCAAAGGAAGAAGACAAAAATTCATGTCATAAAATCCACTGGAGAAAAGAATTTCAAGAGAAGGTGATTATCAGAGAAGATAAGTATGATAGAGGTTGAAAAAACAAGTGCTGAGATTAGGGAGGGGAGGAAGAAGGTAGACTACTCTTTGGCAGAGTCCACAGGGAATGACCATTACCTATCTTATTGCCAAAGAAGGCGATGCCCAGGGAGACATTGTTGTAGCCTTGGGTGTGTAAACCTTGGACATGCCAGCCAACACCTTCATACACTCTGCCATCATTCCCAACCAGGAACTGCCAAGCAAGGAAATATGGGTTTAATGGTAAATCTGTAACAAAAAACGTCTCTGAATTTTCAAAAGGTAAACAGGGTTTTTGAGGTATTTATGCTTATTTATAAGTGCTATGCTTCATAACATAGTAATAGGGGGCAGAATAACCAGTTCTAGACCTCCAAGAGACATGGAAATATACTTCACTTTTGGTTGTGACTTCGCTTATGTGCCTTTTCCAGAATCTCACTTTAAAAATACTCATTTGATTCAAGGTCGAATTTGAATGTGTGACTCTTTAAAGACCTGAGGAATTGTTCCACATTTCAAGGGCTTGAGAATTAATTCATCATGTTTTTAAATTACAGGACCACTAAGCCCTTGAACAATTCTTTAAAACAATTCTCTGAAATTCAGGAGTTCTTTTATATGACTTTTCCCTCAGTTTTTCCTTATAACTCCCTTTACTTTTTCTTATCACAAAAATTTATTTAGAATGTCCCTTTTTTCCAGTTTATCTTTAAATGCAATGCATACATTCTTTTACTCTGTGTCTTTTATTTCTGTCTTTATCATTTCTCACTCTCCACCTTCTAATCACAGTCTTCCAAAATTGATGTTTTCACAGCTTCAGCTTTTCACACTCATATTCATTTCATGTTCCGCTTTTACTAAATCACGGGTTTCCAAAGCAAGCAGAACACAGAAAGAACACTTTCTAGAGGTCCAGTAAAGACCCTGAACTGAGTCAGGCTGACTTTCACCTCATCCCAAGGACGGGGATGGGCACCCACACCACACATGTTCTCCATTTCACTGGCTTTGTGCCAGTACTTTCAGCAGGTTCCTCTGTCACTTTTGCAGTCACCTTTGGTTAGTCCAATGTGAACAATCTCTTTGTGGCTATAGTCAGCTCCATTATAGAAACTGGATATTGTTGTCACTGCAGAAACCTGACTTACAGGTTCAGCGATTGAAGTCACTTAGAAAGTCATTTAGGAACACTGTGACTGGAACCAGGCATTGTAACCTACTACACCTACAATCCCAGATACTTGGAAAATAGCTTTGGAGGATCAAAGCCAGCCCTCGAGGCCAACTTGGGAAAAGACTCAGCAAGACCCCTCCCAACCAATAAATCAGTGGTTTCACATCTTAATCCCAGCTATGTGGGAAGCATAGGTAGGATTTTGGTCTGTTCTTGGCCCCCAGAGGAAAAGTGCTAAACTCCATCCAAACAATAATTAAAACAAAAAAAGGGGTGGTAAACAAAAAAAGTTCAAGTGGTAGAATACATGCCTGGCAAACACAAGGCCCTGAGTTCAAACCCAGGATCATGAAAAAAAAGGAAGGAAGGAAGGAAAGGAGGGAGGGAGGGAGGAAGGAGGAGAGAGAGAGAGAGAGAGAGAAGAGAGAGAGAGAGAGAAGAGAGAGAGAGAAGAGAGAGAGAGAAGAAAGAAAGAAAGAAAGAAAGAAGAAAGAAAGAAAGAAAGAAAGAAAGACAGAAAAGAAGGAAAGAAAGAAAGAAGTGTGGCTGAAGCAGGCAACACTACAGTAACAACCACCAACCACAGGGTGGAGTGACAGGGACAACAGATGAGCTGTATTCAATATAGCACCCACAAAGGGTGGGCCAGGAAACCCTGCCACCCTAGGAGCACTGGCAGCTACAATCCAGGTCTCCAGATGCCCTTATTTATTTGCATTTAGAAACAAAAAAAAGTGCATGGTTTATACTTTCCAAAATGGATAATTCAAAAATCATTTCTATTTGTCCTTAGAATTCTGTAGAGGAAAGCCCATTTCTACTTTTTTCTTTATTTATATGTTTATGTATATACACACACACAAACACACACACAAATATCTGTATCTATATATAGATACATATGTACCATACATATATCTTACTTGAAGGCCACATCACACCACCTTTGTTGTAGACAGAATGAGACTGTAGAACCCGCAGTGTCTGGCTACAGGTGCTCTGCTCCTGGCACTCCATTCCCATGAGCTGCTCTGTGATGAGATAGGCCACAGGCGGGCTCAGCAGGGCTCTGCAACTGAGTGGTCTTGCTTCCCACTCCTTGCGGGAGACTATAGTGGGAATACCTGCAGAGGAGATGACAGGATGACATTCAACTCAGGGCCTTGCCTGCCTCATTGTGGGATAGGGGTCCTAAAGGAGGCCTTCTCTACCTCAGCCTCCCTTCTCATCTCCATGGGCCCATTTGAGCTCAACAGCCATCCAAGCAGACTCTGTATTCAAGCCTTCTCAAGTTGCCTTGTTCTCCAAACATTCTCTCCTGACATTTCCCTGAGGACAAACTTCATCTTCACCTCCTCTCAGGTCTGCATGATCTTCCCTCCTTCAGAAAGCATCCCCAGCTGGGTGCTTGTGACTCGTGCCCATAACCACAGCTCCTTTGGAGGAAGAGCTCAGGGGATCACAATTCCAGGCCAGCCCAGGTGAAAGGTTTGTGAAATGGAAAAAAGCTGGCTATGGTGTGACACATCTGTCATCCCAGTAACCAGGAGAAGCTTAAAATAGGAAGGTCTCAGTCCAGGCTGGCCTCAGCAAAAAACCCAGACCCTATCTCCAAAATAACTAGAGCACCTGTCTCTCAGCATGAAGCCCTGAGTTCATACCTCAGTTCTGCAAACTCAGTACCACCACCACGAAAAAGAGCATCTCCAGCTGACATGCCACACCCAGTTATTCCCAGGGTTCTGAGCTGCTTTCTCTTGAGGCATCTTTGCATGGATGCCTTAGGATGCATTTTCCTCACTGGCATTAGACCCTGGGTCTCTGGCTGTGACTTTGATCTTGGACTCCACTCTGAACAGTGACTCTGAAGGAAGCCCTGCCAGTTCCTCAACTAGGTGCTCCAAAGCTTACAGGAAGTTTCCTAAATATAGGGTATAAGTCTCTGTCTTCCAGATGAAACTCTCCAGGGGCAGAGCTCAGAGATCTCCACAAAGGGCTCAGGCTCCTAAAAGGCTCCCTTTCTCCATCCTCATTTCGAGAGCCCCAAGAGTTCTCTGAGGGATAAGATGTCTCCACTGTAAAACTGGGAGACAGGGAGTAGGGCATGTCTTCTCTCTCTGGGTTTTTTCTCCTTTCTTTCTTCTCCTAAATTCTCTCTTCTTCTTTTTATGTCCTTAGGCAAAGGAATCCACCTTTGCCTAAGAACTCGTAATAATCCATGGGAATAACTGGCAGGTGAGCCTTTTGGGATTCTACCCCAGACAGTCACTCTTACCCAGACATAATCAAGCCCTGAGAAACATCAGCCAGTCCCCAAAATGCCTCACTATTGTGACTCTTGTGAATGAACTGTGAGATGCTGACAAACAGGTCCAGAAGCTTCTCCGAGATGCCTCCAGCATGGGTTTCATTCCAGGATGAATGTGGGACATCCCCTGCAAAGGAGCAGCATGCTGGTTCTTGGAGAGCACACAGCAGCATGCTCAGAGGCACAGATCAAATACCCCCACCCCACAGTCCACAGCCTTTCAGACCCCCAAGTCTCCATACATCCTGTGGGAAGCAACACAGGAGAACCATAGGCATCTCTGGTCTCAGCCTGCCACTGCCTTCCACCTCTGCCCAAGGAGGCCTCCATGCTCATACAAAGAGACCTTCCCTTCCTAAACCCTCTCCATTCCAGAGCATTACAGCTTCCCCTGCTACCTTATCTGAGCAGTGCTGCTTTCCTTGTTCACCTGTGTATCTAATAATAGATCAAGGTACTTATCAGAGTATATATACCAAGATGGCTGTCATTATTTTGAGCAACACTCAATGTATACTTGAATACTCATTAGTACCGTGCAAAATTCTTGAAACATAGAAATACATGGATTATTGTGACTGCCCTCAGAAACTATGTATTTTAGACAGGGTTTATTAAAGAATTAGTCATCACCAACATACTTCCAATCAGTACCAGACACCATGGGAACAATAGGCACCAGCAGCAGCATTGCCCCAAAGGTCACCTCCCACGGGAAAGCTCTGTTTTGGCCTCCTCAAGAAGGCTAAACAGAATTGTGGCTTAGAATGACTTTAATGTGATAGGTAATGCAAATAACTACTCCTCTACACAGATGAAAACTGAGGCTCAGAGAGTGACCTTTTCCAACATAATACAAGTTTTAAACATTGGACTTAGATTCCCACCAGACTCCCTGACCCCATAACTTTTATTATAACCACCACCCTTGGCCTCCCCAGAGTTGTCAATCGAACTTGAACAAGTCACTGCCTCACTCGGGCATGTTTTTCTGTCTATAAGACAAGGTCAATGAGGATTTCCACCATGTTTCTAAGATTCTGTCATTCTTGGAAATCAAGAGAAAATACATGACCCTGACACAGATGTTACAGTGTGTTTGGTAACCAGAGAGACTGCTAAGGTCAGGAGCCCATCTCTAAGAGGAAACACAGGACAGGGGAAGTTGAGCCTGGAGAGGGTGATACATAAATGATATGCACAGAACTCAGAACCCTCAGAGCTAAAGAACAGCCATCAGGCCCAAACCAACACCAAGTAGACAAAGGACATGTGCATAGCAGGAACCAGGAGACTGGGGTGAGGGTCAGGGACAATTCACTGCTCACTTGAGCAAGTTACTTCCCAGTAGGGAGCAGGGCCTCAGTTTCCCCATTCATAAAATGAAAGGTTAAGCTAAATATTCCCTGATCTGTGAGTTTCTCCAACACTACTTTAAATCATCCCATTAAATTCACTGCAGAGGGCAGAAATAGTTTATTACCGCTTCCAAACAGTAACTATGTATGTTAGATAACAAGGAAAGCATGTCCAGTATCTAAGGAACTGCAAAGATGATCCCTGAAAAATATAGTCTTTGTCTAGTATTTAAGAATCACCAAACCAATGTCCATTTCATTCAACAGCACTAATGTATTGAACATTTGCTTTGTGTATAATCATACGTATAAGAAATATTTTGATGTTGTAAAGGGCATCACTACTCTCAAGGAATTTGAATAAATTTATAAATGTAGACCCTAGGGTTTGGTTTAACTTTGATTGGTATAATAATGATGAGATAATTAAATCATAACTACATATTACTTAGCATTTTTTTAACTTGAGCACTGTGCTAAATATCTTACACTTAGTATCTAAGTTAATCCTTAAAACAATTCTAAGATATGAGTATTAAATATTATTCCTAAATTGTGGAAGCAAATAAAACTCAAAGAAATTAAATAACTTGTTTAGGATCACAGCAAATGCCAGGACAAGGATTTGAATGGAGATCTGTCAACTTCAGAACAGTGCTGCAAATTGCTAACAGCGGTAGGGAGAGAACTAGAGGTATAAAGAGAAATAGGAGTGTTTCTGCTACTCAGCTTAAGGACAGTTGTTTGTCACTCACAAAAAGCACTTATGATGCAAAAAAGAAAACTTACCCCAAACTTGGAGACCCAGAGCAGAGAACACAAGAAACCAAGGCAACATCCTCACGTGGTCCCAGAACCGATAGGAAGTATGTGTATGGTGGCCCGAGGAGGGCAATGACCCTGGAGAAACACTGACAGTTAACATGACTGTTCTCACTGTATAAGCAGAGCACCCACTACTGAGTGGTGCCTCTGTCTGACTCCCCACCACACTGTGGGCCTCTTGATGGTCAGCACTGGCTTAGGCTTCTCAAAGTCCCTGCACATGTTAATGTGTATGTCTAGCCATCCCTTTCCCCAATCTTAGACCTTCCAGGGGGATGAGAACAACTTCAAAATCTTTTAGTAGCTGTTAGGAATAAACCCACATAGATATTTTCACATCTCATGCGGCAATTTTGGTTTTAGCCCTTACCAAGTCCCTTTAACGTGAGTATTCTGAACCCCATTTTTTGTGGTACTCACAGCCTTACACTTGCTAAGCAAGAAACTCCACCCTTGAGCCATTGTACCAGCTCTTTATAGTTTAGTTATGTTTTTCAAATGGGTCTTTGTTTTTCTGTTTGCCAGCCTGGACAAAACAGCAAATCTGTATGCCTTTGCATTGCTGGGTGAGGGTGCATGCCGCCACACCAGCTTTCTTAATTGGTTGAGGTGTAGTCTTGCTAAAATTTTTGCCTAGCAGTCTCCAAGTGATCTTTTCCTGACTTCCACCTCCAGAGTAAATGGGAAACATAGGATTTGTGCCACTGTGACTGGCCTTGAACCTCATTTTCACATGAAGAACCTGAGGCGAGAATGGGAGTGAATTGAGAAAAAGAAGCAGGCTTGGACATGGTTCCCCTGTACTACTGGAACAGGCAGAAGCATGTAAGCATCTAATTCAATTCCCCACTCTATAAGATCCCTGAACAGATTGCCTCAACTAACACTCTTGTTCCTGAACAAGAATGAGGATAACCAACAGCAGTTACCCACTTACTGATCACATTCACTTGTCCGAGCCCCCAGGTATTTTCTTTGAGGATTCCATGAACCATTTCATTAAGGTCTCACAGTGACCAATTGAGATCACGTAACTGAAAGGAATGATTGAGGGTTTCAGCGGCCCCAACCCCCTTGTTGGAGAAACCAGTACCAAACATCCCATGTAGATAAGATATAGCAGGGCTAGGAAATGCAAGATGTGAGTAAGCAAGAGGTACGTGCAAGATGTGAGGTACGTGCAAGATGTGAAGTACGTGCAAGATGTGCTCTGCCTGCTTGCCCAATGTTGATAACGAAAATATGCACGCCACGCAGTCTATATAAGATTTCCCCTAAAGAGGCTCAGGGTCGTGTTTCCTAACCGGTCCTGCGTGTCCGTGTGGGAGCTCGACCCTGGCTAGCCAGCCCAATAAACTCTGCTTTGTTGATTGCATTCACGCCTGGCTCTCTGTCTCTCGGGGGAATAGGATTCCGGGTCCTAACATTTGGAGGCCCCACCGAGATTTCATTTTCTCGAGAGACAGAACCTGCCTGCGAGAAAGCAGGGGCGATCCCAAGTCCTAGGCTGGGAGGGGATCCCAGACCCTCATTTGGAGGAACTTGAGTGTTCCATTTGGGCCGCGGCGGGGATTCGGCCAATCCCCAGGGAGATTCATTCTGGGAATCTCGCAAGGAGGACCACAGGGTCCTATTGGAGAGGCTTTCCTCTCATTTGGGCTCGAGCATTTTAGGAACCCTGGCGCCAGGTGAAGAACTAATTGAGCTAGTCGACCGACCACCCGTCAAGTGGACGCCTTTCGGCCTGATATCCCAGTTGGACGGTGAGGAGGTTGAATGGGGTGCGCACCAGTGTGAGAGAAGGACCGGTCCGAGCGAGTGCTGGAGAGTGTTTGTGTGTGTGTGGAATTATTGTTGCCTTTACCCTTTTTGTTCTATCTCTCTTGTGTGTTTGAGTCTCCTTCCACAATGGGACAGGGACAAACAACCCCAAAGTCTCTGATCCTTTCTCACTTTCAGAAGTTAAAGAAAGGGCCTTAAATGCGGGTCTGGTCATCAAAGAAAGGTAAGTTCGACACCTTTTGTTCTGCAGAGTGGCCCACCTTTGGAGTCGGGTGGCCCATTCAAGGTTCCCTCTCCCTAGACCTGATCACTAAGGTTAAAGCAGTCATTTTTCAGCCAGACAATCGAGGCCATCCAGACCAAGTTCCTTACATTTTGGTTTGGGAGGATCTGGTGAGGAACCCTCCCCCTTGGTTAACAGTTTTTCTGACCCACCCCTCCAGTTCGGCCCCCGGGGCTAAAACCCCAGTCACGCCCGCCTTGGTCATAAAGGAGGAGGAAAAACTTCCTCTTCCCACCTTGACCGGTCCTCAAATTAGGGCATCTCCTTCACCATCTCCGGTCTTACCAGAGAGTTCCCCCCTTTACCCATCCCTCGCAGGGCAGAGGAAGATCGGCCGCCTCCATACGTGACCCCCTGGCCAAGCCAGTGCCCCGGAGGAGGAAATTTCCTCATCCTCCTCAACAGGACTGGCAGCAGGAGGAGGAATGGGTCGAAGACTTCGCCCCCGAGGGATCCGGGAAAGGGAGGGGGAAGACGGGCCCCCCTCATCAACACAGGGGGAGGAAACTGTCCCTACACTTCCAGTCCGGATGGTGGCCAAGGGGGACCGGAGGGGAGGGCAACAGTTTCAGTACTGGCCCTTCTCCTCCAGTGATCTATATAACTGGAGGACGCAGAACCCGCCCTTTTCTGAAGACCCCAAGTGTCTCATAGATCTCTGGAGTCCATCATGCATACACACCGTCCCACTTGGGATGACTGTCATCAGCTGCTCAATACTCTTTTTACGACGGAGGAACGAGAGCGCATCCTCAACGAAGCGAGGAAGAACGTCTTGGGGGATAATGGGAGACCCACAACTCTCCAACCGGCCATAGACGAGGCTTTTCCCCTACGCCGCCCTGATTGGGATTTCGGGACCGCAGAAGGTAGGGAGCGTCTTCGGATCTACCGCCAGACTCTTATGGCCGGTCTCCGAGCGGCCGCTAGAAGGCCCACCAATTTTGCAAAAGTAAAAGCAGTCGTTCAAGGGAAAACGAAAGCCCAGCCGGTTTCTTAGAGCGCCTCTATGAGGCATACCGTCAGTACACCCCTATTGACCCTGAGGCGGACCTCCACCGGTCTGCTGTGGTACTCTCATT